ACATAGTTGTACTCTCTTGAAATAAGATACTTCCCTTTCTTCAATAGTTGGATTCTCAAGAGGATCTTGAGTTTCCTCAACTTTCGTTTCTTCCTTTGATGATGGTTCTCCAACGTCATTTATATATATAATGCCTACATCATCATTCACACAAAAATCCTTCCTCGGAAGGGGATTATCATCGAAAACAACATGTATTGACTCTTCTACAACTAAAGTTCTTTTATTAAATACTCGATAAGCTTTAGAATTTAAGGAATAAATCAGAAAAATTCCTTCATCACTTTTAGCATCAAATTTGCCAAGATTGTCCTTACCGTTGTTTAAAACAAAACATTTACATCCAAAAGGATGAAAATAGATAATGTTAGGCTTTTTATTTTTAAAAATTTCATATGGAGTTTTCTTTAAAATTGGCCTAATCATTACTCGATTTACAACATAACAAGCGGGTATTTGTGGCTTCCGCCCAAAAATATTTTGGCAAATTGTTTTCACAAAGCATGGTTCTAGCCATTTCTTCTAAAGTTCATTTTTTCTCTCAACAACTCCATTTTGTTGAGGGGTTCTAGGTGCTGAAAAATTATGGCTAATACCATTAGAATTACAAAATTCAGTAAATCCAAGATTTTCAAATTCAGTTCCATGATCACTCCTAACACTAGTTATAGAGTAACTTTTTTTGTATTGGATTATTTTTGAAAATATGATGAAATGTTCTAATGCTTCATCTTTAGTACTTAAAAGTATAACCAAGTATATCTAGAATAGTCATCTACCAAGACAAATGCATATTGTTTTCCACCCAAGCTAGTAGTCCTAGTTAGCCCAAAAAGATCTATATGGATCAATTGTAATACTCTATTAGTTGATACGTCATTAATGGATTTAAAAGAAACTCGCTTTTGTTTTCCTTTAGCACAAGCATCACAGATTTTATCTTTATCAAATTTTAGTTTAGGCAACCCTCTTACTAAGTCTCTTTGAATTAGCCATTGCAAAACACTCATACTAGCATGTCCTAGTCTCCTATGCCATAACCAACAATCATGCTCATCCTTAGCAACTAGGCATAAATTAGTCATATCAATAGAGTCTAAATGCACCATGTATATGTTTCCTATTCTATGACCAACAAGCATAATTCGATTAGATGCAATGTCAATGACTTTACAACCATTAATATCAAACATGACATTGAATCCCTTATCACACAATTGACTAATACTCAATAGATTATGCTTTAATCCATTTACATATAAAACATTCTTAATTTGTATGGAAGATATATTACCCATAGTACCTATACCTTCAATGAGACCTTTTGAATCATCACCAAAAGTCACTTCTCCTCCATTTTTAGAGTTAAGCTCTATGAACCGGCTTTTGTCTCCGGTCATGTGTCTTGAGCATCCACTATCAAGGTACCATGAGTTTGAATTTGTTTCTCGTACCTTGTAGCAATGCTCATTTTCCTACAAACATAGATTGATTTTTGATTTTTGGTACCCAAATTCTTTTGGGTCCATATTCATTAGTTTCCAAAATCCTAGTCCCCTTAGGTATCCATTTGTGTAAGATATTCTTATCTTTAGTAGTAATGAGCTCTTTAGGAACCTATATACTTCTAACGATTTTTCTATTAGAGGTTCTTCGGGGACCTCTATGATTGTAGTTTCTAAAACTTTTTTCTAACAAAGTTGGTTTTTGAATTTTCTCTTTTTTTAAAACGTTTTATTCCAACTTTATCAAAAGAAGCTTTAAGATCATCAATTTCCTTTTGATGATTATCATTGACTCTTGAAAGTAAATTTTGCAAATCAGTATTTTTCTTTTCAAACTCTTCTAGTTTGATTTGTAAATCTTTGATTTTACTTTCAAGATCATTGTTGGTCTTGGATATAAGATTATTTTTATTTTTCAATTTTGAAATATCATTTTTGTATTTTAAAAACAATTTCTCATAATCCGAAGCCAACCCATTATATTCCTCTAATAACTCATCATAAGATAAATCATCTAAATCAAATGAGTTAGAGGTTACCTTAGAATCTTCCCCAAATGCCATCAAGCACAAGTTTGCTACTTCTTGTTCCTCTTCGTCGAAACCTTCTTTATCGCTCCATGTAGCCACATGAGCCTTGTGCTTATTCTTTGATTGACCATTTCTCTTCAATTGTGGGTAATCATATTTGATATGCCCCAATTTTTTGCATTCATAGTAAATGACCGGGTCCTTCTCTTTTGGTTCATTTTTGAAGCCTTCATTTCGTTTGAATTTTCTTCCTCGGTTTGGCCTCATCATTTTTCTGAACCGTTTGGCAAACAATGCCATCTCCTTGTTATCGTCATCTTCATCCGAATCACTCTCATCTTTTGTTGATTTGAGAGCAACTCCCACGTTCTTATTTTTCTCTCTCCTTCTTTGACTCCTCTCTTCTCTCAAGGCCTTCCTCTTCTTTAAGCATCATTTCATGCGTGAGGAAAGAGCCAATAAGTTCATCGAAGGTCAAGGATTTTAAGTTCTTAGCCTCGATAATCGTTATCTTCTTTGATTTCCAAGTTTTTGGAAGAGAGTAAACTAACTTCCTTACAAGCTTTTCATTTGTAATGATTTCTCCATATGATTTGAGACTATTAACAATCGTGGAGAATATATCTGTCATAGCTTTGACATCTTCATCCGGTTTCATCCTGAAATTTTCATAGCTACGAGTTAGAAGACTAATTTTAGATTCTTTTACCTCATTTGTGCCTTCATGAGTGACTTGAAGTTTGTCCCATATCTCCTTGGCGGTTGTACAAGATGAAACTCTCCCGTATTCATCCGGTCCAAGAGAACAAAAAATGATATGAATGGCTTTGGAGTTGAGCTGGAACATTTTTGTCTCTCCTTCACTCCACAATCTCGGGTGGGTGAAGGGTTTGATGTATCCATCTTCTATGACATTCCATGCTCCCATGTCACTTGATTGAATGAAATACATCATTATATTCTTCCAATAAGTATAGTTAGCTCCTTTGAAGAAATGAGGCTTGTTGACGGGCATTAAATTGAGAATGAAGTCGGAGTTTGAAGCGCCGACCATTGATGACTTGAATATCGATGTAACTTTTCCCGAATCGACTCAAGAGGCAATTAAACCTTTAAATGAGTGAGCCTCTGATACCAATTGTTGAGTTAATCGATCGATGGAATTGGCCAAGAGGGGGTGAATTGGCAATTAAAATTTTGGTAGAAGATTTTGCAAAAAATTGAAAAGATTTGCACAACGATTTAGAGTGGTTCGACTTTCTCAACCAAAGTCTACGTCCACTACCTTAGCTATCCACACTAAGGATTTTCCAACAAATTCACTAATTTGTTCTTTCTTTTGAGGCCAAAGAGATAACCTTACAACTCCCTCAATAATATACCCCAATTCTTGAGAACACTCTTTCTCAAAGAGAAGATTACAAATTTGTAAACCTACAAGGAAATCCTCACAAGGTAGATTGTTTGCACAATTCTAGAACAAAGAAAAGAACACTAAAAAATGAATACAATTGAGTACAAGTAGTGTTCTTGAAAGCAAAATGAATATTGAATGAAAAATAGGCTTGAAATGCTCAAACTTGAGGTTTGATGCTTTCTCTTTGATTCTCTCTTGATTCTTATTTCTTGTTTTTTATTGTTGTTTATCAATGGCTTCTAAGGTTGTTTAAATACTCCTTCAATTAATTCTGAACGTTGGGGATGATTAGTGGAGTCAATAGAGTCGTTTAAGTGTGAAAGAAATTAATAAAATCAGTTGGGAGCATCAGTGCATCGATGCATACACAAGGTGTATCGGTGCATCGGTGCATCAAGTGTAAAATTCAAATATTTTGACCGTTGGACACCTAGTGCATTAGTGCACTAAGAGTGCATAGATGCATGAAGTGCATTCGATATTTCAAAATAGCCTGAGTGCATCAATACATGTCTTGTGCATCGATGCATCAAATGCATTTGATGTTTTCATAAAAACCTGAGTGCATTGATGCATGGTGTGTGCATCGATGCATAAAATGCATTCGATGTTCAATTTATTCATTGGTGCATCGATGCATGGATTGGTGCATCGGTGCATTCCTTTGAAAAATTGATTTTAGGCTTTATTTTGGTTCAAAATACTTTGTGAAAATTGTTTCAAAAATATATTAAGTATAAAACACAATTTTACACTTTTAGTGAGGTTTGAAATTGATCTTGAAAGAGTTGGAGTAATAATTTGATATTCGAGTAATTAAATTGAATATACTCAGAAAATCATTTATAAAATCTTAAAATTCATTTAACATAATTTGTTATATCGAAACATCAAAATGTTTTCAACAACATCCCCAACGGCTATATACGACTTCAAACTCATTTCAAGCTATAAATATAAGCTGAGGACACTTGAAGAAGTAAGAGAACAACTATCCAAGCAATCAAACACAAGAAAAGAGATTTTTATTCTTATTTTCCTTTCTCTTGTAATATTTGTTCTTGTGAGCTTAATTCTTGTAAACACCTACCTTTGAGAGGTTTATTTGTTTACTTTTTTTTATCCTTTTATAAAGGGGAAAGATTCTAGCTTAGCCCGTGTAAAATCTAGGGAAAGGTTATAGTTTATCCCGTGAAAAACTAGGGAATTGTAAAGGTTATCTCTTTGTCCTCAAAAGAAAGAACAAATTAGTGAATTTGTTGGAAAAACCTTGGTGAGGAGCTAAGGTAGTGGATGTAGACTTAGTTGAGAAGTCGACCACTATAAATTGTTGTGCAATTCTCTATCTTTCAATCTCCTTACTCCCTAAACACAAAAACAGTTCTGACCCCTCTTTGCAAATCGTTTCGGTTGTCGATTCGAGCTTCCAAAAATCCCAACAGTTAGCCATGTCACATAATGCTAGATTAAGACTATGACAACCACAATAAGTATAAAATGCTCTAGAATTTATATCTAGAAATTTCTTTTGTACTCCCTGATGTTTACCTTTCATATTCGATCTATTGTCATAGCCTTGACCACGCATATCATCAATATCAAGACCAAGTGACTTCAATTCATCTTGTGTTGTATCAAAAAGTCCCTGACCAGTGGTATCATTAACATTTAAAAATCCTAAAAAAGATTCCTCAACACTGACACTTGTGGATGAGAAATTTACATACCTCAATATCAAAGTCATTTGTTCTTGATGAATGCAATCTGGGGTACAATCAAGTATCACTGAGTAATACTTTGATTGCTTAACTTTTTTTATGATATCTGATTTGATTGCATGTGCAAGCAAAGTTATTAACTCATTTTGGATTGTATGACCGAGATAGTGAACATGGATGTTATCACTTGTAATACATCTCACGTGCTCTTTAATAACTGGGTCAAACTCTTCCAGCATTTCAATTAAACCCAAAAAGTTTCCATTGCTCTTTTGATACAACTTATCGTTCGATCCACGGAAAGCTAAATTATGTTTAGCAAGGAACTTTACAATTGAAATAATTCTCTGAAGAACTTTCTTCCAATGATCTTTCTCTTTTTCAAATTGTTCTTGTACCACTTTATTAATTGTTTCATTCTTTTTTAATCTCTGACGCATATCAAGCCAAGTAGCCATGTTTGTGACATGTTCTAGGCCAACTTCATGCTCTTTAAGTCTGGTGCTAAGATGTTGCCAATCTACAAAACCGTCATTAGCTAACTGACCTTTTGCAAGCCATTTCCTAAATATTTTACAATAGAAACAAAAACTCTATCAAGCTCTTTAGAATATACTAGTCATTCTCTATCCACATTCTCATTGTTTGGGAGGATTCTAGTATATAAAGCGGCAGAAAATCGTTTTGAAAATTTATCTTTAGGACCCTTCTCAAATGACATATCTCTTTTAGGACCCTTTGATACCAGAACCTTAATCATGTCAGAACTAAGATCATCCCAACGTCTTGGATCAAATATATCAATATGAGTAACATCAACATTAGCATCATCAACATGGTCATTATTAACATCATTCGCACCTTCACCATCAATATCGCCATCATCGACATTAGCATTATTAGCATCATCAACATCTTCGCCATGTACATCAACATCATTAACATGATCATTAACAACATTTTGATCTCGAGAAAAAACTTGTGGTTCTCTTTGAATAAACTTATTTAGAGCTTCACTCTGAGACTTAATGAGTTCTTCGAGTCTTTTTCTCTTTTTACGTTTTTCATGTCCAGATTCATGTTTTCTTAACCTAGGAGGCATAATCTCTGAACATGTTCAATACCATAGCCAATACAAATACAATTAGAAACTTCAAACATTAGATATGTGTGTAACTCAAATAATAATAAAAACATTTACTAACCATGGAAAAGAGAAAAGTGCAGTCACAATCGTAGAGGAGAGGAGAGCGCATAGATTTTTGTGTTTTTTTTTTACTTTGCAGGGTGTTTCTACAGAGGAGAGAGGAGGCAGATATCTAGGTTTTACTTTTTTAGAATTTTTTAAATTGACTGTCAAATATTATTTAATGTGTGCCTTGGACTTGAAAATTCTTGGGCCAAACATCCTAAATACACATATATACAAAAGACTTAAAAAAATTTGGAGGCCCTTACAAAAATTGGGCCATGTGCGGTTGGGCAGCCCGCACAGGCCCAAAACCGACCCTGTCTTTGGGAAGACAATATTTGAAATGCAATGTCGTTAGCTTACGAACATACATGTATTTTGAGAGGATACATCGGATCTTACATATTCATGAAGATGTCAGGTAATACATGCAACTTCCATACAACACTATAAAAACCACATATTTAAAAAAAATAGAATGATCATTATATGAGAAATTTATTTTACCCAAAATAATGTCTTGGTGATTTTGCTGAAGTTACTAATTACAGTAATAGTTTTTCTGGTAGATGCTGGTTATTGTAGAGAGCGTTTTTCAAAAGACATATTTTGTAGATCACAACTGTATTAACATGATAGGTTTTGCGGGATGTATGTCTCACGTTGGTGTCATTTAAGGACTAATGAAATAAATAAAAATAACGAGTCAATTTGTTTAAAAAAATTTATACGAATTTTATTCAAAAAGAAATAATGTGCACACAAGCATGAGTCGATCGGATTGCGACAATAAAAAGTGTCTTTAATCGTTAAATGAATGCGTGTTTAGAAGACTGCATTAAAATACTTTGAAAAAAACTCATATATAAACAATATAAAAATTGAGAATATCATGATGAAAAATTGATTTTGAGGTGTCAAAAATATTTTTTAAACTTAATTAGATATGTATTTGTATGATAGTCAAAGATATATGTTGTCTTATAAAATACTTGTATTAGTATAAATTACTTGTGAAGAGGTTGAGAAAATTAATTTTTAATTAAGATTAATGTGCAAAGTCACATTAAGATTATGATCCTCGAATTATATATAAATAACTTTTTTATCTTTAAAATAGGTTAGAGTTTTTTTTAATATCAATGTATTAGATTAAATGATTAAAATTTCAAGATTCAAGAATTTTAACATATCAATAAATGTTTATTATTATAGTTATTATTTTGTTTCTTGTTGTAACCGCTGATATTTGATCTATTGATCAACTAATCCAGATCGGATACTGCAGAACGAGGCGAAATTCTCAACACAATTTGTTTCATTTACAAATACAAGAATTCGAACTCTTACTTAAGGATCTAATACCTCATCCCACTAGACCAATTAATTGTTGGTTATGGTTAATAATTTGACATATCCTAAATTTATACATTTCTTATAAATTTTGTTTCAATTATAACACTTAATATACATTACACTAATCGCATTTTTTTTTGGTCTTTAAGCAAAGATTGAATCTTTAGTCAAATATTATGTAGCTAGTCAAAGTTAAGAAAAAAAATCTCCCATTAATATAATAATTCTTTTATTTATGCCTATGTATATGAGTGATCATCATGTGATCTATGGAGAGAATCAATGGGATATGATATTGTCCACCCATTTTTATTCCAAAAACAATGAAGCTGATGGTGATGGCCATAACAAGGACAAAAGGAATCAATTAATCACTTAAAATACAAAAATAATTCTTCAAGTTGTTGAACAAAAGAGTTGCAGAAAACAGTATAATCTTTTACCAACATGATGAAACAGGGAAAGAAATGAATGGGATACAAAATTTATAGCTGAACTTAACACAATGGTTTCTTCTTCAGAGCTTGACTTCCACATCCACACCAGCAGGGAGGTCAAGCTGCATCAATGAATCAATTGTTTGTGCGGTTGGGTAGAGAATGTCGATAAGGCGCTGGTGTGTCCTGATCTCAAAGTGGAACCTTGCGTCCTTATGCACATGAGGGGATTTAAGGACACAATAGATCCTCTTCTTGGTCGGTAAGGGCACCGGACCCATGGTCTTGGCATTGGTGGTCCGTGCAGCATCCAGTATCTGCTTGCAAGAGTCCTCGATCAAGGGAACCCAGTATGACCGGAGTTTAATTCTAATCTTCTGCTTAGGCGCTGCCTGTCACAACAAATATGAACAACACGCTAAACAAGGTTAACTCCTTAACTAATATGAACAACACGCTATAATACATAGACAAGGTTAACTCCTTAACTAATATGAACTTGGGTGTTGTAGCCTTCTAACAGACTATAATACAGAGACAAAATCTTTGACGAGTTTATGTGACTTATGAGATCGTATTCTACGGTTTGATGATGAAATCTTTTTGGACAATTAATTTACAAATAACTATAAAGACGTTACTGCTGACATAAACACTAAAAATCATTACAAATATTCTAATCAAGATTAAAAAAGAGATTAGAACCGTCACAACTTGTATATTATCTTCTTTATCCTCCATGATCAACTCTCAACAACATAATAACAACGCAACAGTCACAGTCTCCATTCAAACAGGTGAACCGCCAACTACCAACTAAAACTTATTATCATCGACAAAATATAATATTAACAAGTTTATCAAACATAAAAACAGCTCGATATGTACCTTTTCAGCTTCTGCAACATATGAAGAACTGGGAACCTCAGAACTTACTACCTGCAGAACCAAAAGAACTCAACCCCATCAAGCCAAAAGACTATCTTTTCAGTTCCCATGATTTCTAAGCAACAAAAAGCTTAAATCTAAAGTTCAAAGTTCTTAACGTTTCTTAAAATGAAATAAAACAAGAAAAAGGAAGGAAATTTTCAAACCTCGGGTGTCTCTTCCAAAGCTTCTGGAGCAGCAAAAAGCTTGGTGGGTGATTGTGGAAGTTTAAGTGACTTATTGCTGAGCTTCAAGTGGTTGAAAGAAGGTGGTGAGAATGAGAAAGAAAAGTGAAGTTTGGTTGGGGTGAAGAAGCATTTTGGATTGGTAAAGAAGGAATTAGAGATGAAGAGATTGATGATATCGCCATTGCAACACTCCAAGTGTTATCCAAAACCGAAAGAGCTTTCCACTTACTTAGTTCTTCCGCTTTTGATAAGATGTTTCATGGGCCTATTGGAAAGCCCAAACTTTTTCTAATTTGAAAAGGTTTAGGCTGTGGGGTTCAAACGTGCTGGGGTAACCATCTTTATTGGAGTAAACGATATTTAAGGTTAATTTTTTAATAGTTTGTGGTAATTAAAAAACTATTATTTATTTTAAAAAAATTAATTATTAATAGTATAATTATATTTTATATAATTTGTTGTTTAAATTTGAGATTTTTAAAGAGAATAATATTTCATTTTATTATTAAAGTTATTCAATAAATTTCACTTGTAGATTACTATTTATATTATTGAATAAAATTATTTTATATAAAAGTTCATATTAAAAATTATCTAATAAATAACTCTTAATTGAATGATAAAAATATTTTATATAAAAATCTATTTTCGTGTTTAATTATAAATAATAGATTTAAAGTTTTTTTAATTTAAAAATAAAAAGCAAAAGGTTTTTATAATAATATTTTTAATATAACTCCCGCAACAATATTAATTACTTATTAAAATGAAGAAAAATGATATTTAGCAAATTATCTCACTTATTGTGTTTTGACAACAGTTCATATTCAATTTATTAATCAATTAAATTAAATCGAACAATAAATTTTTATAATTTAATTTAAATTATTCATAATATCGAAATTCAATTTTTTTAATCTTATATAAAGATTTAATATTTTATCTCATTGAACCAATTAGTATTAATTAAGTGCGAATTCAATATCAACTTGACAAAAAAATACTATTATTTTTTTTAATAAATTTGAGTTTAATATAAGATAGTATGTGTTCAAAAGCTTTTAATTTTTTAACAATGAACGTTTGTATTCGTACATATAATGTTGGAATCTAAAATCTCAAAAATAATAATAAATTCTTTAATTACCGGTGTGCACAGTATTATTAATTTAAACAGTTTGAATCACAAGTATTTAATAACACCCATCATGAAAAGAGGCTGGTTTCTATATCATTAGTGTTTTCATTTTCAGCTGAAAGATGCATAAAACTGCTGCTTTTTGTTTCACGATTTCTATTAACTACTCATCAAAGAAACCACCTTCTCCATGTTCAAACAACAAACTCCCAATTAACTCATTTTAAAGACTCGTTTTTTTAACTGTTTTTCCCCTTTTCATTTTGGCCATGCACAAAACTCTCATGAACTTCCTTCTTGATTCTGAATTGGGTTTTTCCATTGTTTACAGCTTTCAACTCTTCCCCTCTCTTTGTACTTTGTCCTATTATGATCAAACTTAAATTTGATTTCGGTTCTTCAAATGATTCTTGCAATCTTTAATCTTCTTGCTACTGTTTAGTGCACACACTCCTTTGCGCTCCTTTTATTCATTAGTCTCACCTCTTTCACGCTCTTTCAACTTCAGATACTGTATATGTAAACTCCTGGACTTCAACGACAATATATATTCTAGTCACTGAGTAAAACATGGGATGTCTCGGTTTCTGGGTTTTCGATTGCCAAAGCTTTGACAGAATCTTAAGCTATGGATTACGGCTGCTGCTGCTCCTTGGTTATGGTTGTGGTCGCTTTCCTGTGCGGTTTTCGAGTCGGTTTTTCGATGACTATTGAAGTGCATTTGAAGAATTTCATCAGTTGGGATGACATAAAAGTGGATGAACATCAAATAAAGTTGAGTGATTCGAGGGTTAATCGTAATCGAAGCCGAGTTATCGTGGTTAACAAGAATGGTGGAGCAGATTCCGTCACTGTTCAAGGAGC